AAAGATACCTTTTAAAAAACAAGTTTGCATCCTATTCTTATGCATGCCAGTGCTGTGTGTGAGGTAATTTAAGGTGGTTCTGACAAGTGTCATCTTCATATCCGGTCACATGGGCGGCAAGCCACTCCCATCCGGTCACATGGGCGGCAAGCCACTCCCACAAAGGAGGCCACACCCACAGAGTAGGTTCGAACAATTTTTGAAACCCACCACTGTCTCTACGCCCCAATGGCAGATAAAGCAGCAGAACCATCATCTAGGAGAAGGGAAACTCTGATCACCAACCTCCACTGCCTTGTGGCTCTATCCACTACTGGAAAAGGCTTCGGGAGTCAACCGCGAGGCAAAATCCAGAGCCGGAGTCCCGGAAGCAGTTCGTGACTGTGTGCAACCATGTTCTGGTAACTCCTGTGACGCAGCTGGAACCAATCGCATCGGTTTCTGCCATTCCGTTGGACTAATTCAGCGATGTGGAGGGGGGGGATCTGCTGCTTGGGTAACAGTCTATCCTCCATATTAATCTACCCAGGCCTCGTGCTGGAGAGGACACTCCAGCTTTGACCTCTTTCCAGAGCACGATACTATAGTCTTTTAAGACTGAAGGATGCCAATGTAGATGTAGAGCAGGGGTGTCAAACTCGAGGCCCACAGACTGGAGCTGGCCCGGGAGTGCCTGGAAATAGCAAAGGTCTGGCCCGGGGTGGCTCTGGCAGCCAAAATAGGGCATGGGGAGGCCGCGTGAGCTCCCCCCCCCCCATTGCTCCGTTTTCAGCCTGAACGGCCACTTTACTAGCCAAATCGCGCCCAGGCCAGGATGAAAATGAGGTGCAGGGGGGAGGGCTCACGCAGCCATCCTGCACCCCGTTTTGGCCGGATGAGTACTGCAGGAGGTGTCCGTCCCTTGTCCCCCCGCTCCGCCCGCCTCTGGCTGGCCCACAGAGAATTACAATGCTGATCCGGCCCTCAAAGAAATCCACTTTGATACGCCTGATGTAGAGGCATGGAAAGTTCAGGTGAACCCAAGATAGAAGGACCAAGTTAGATGCCCGTTGGTAGTTTCCTCACCTGAGCTTTCAAGAAATCCTTCGATTTTTGTTCCCTCTCGTCCGCCTTGAGCTGGGTCATACGGATCAAGTTATTCAACTCTTCCCTGTAATGCTCCTGCGCCCCAACGACTTGTTCTTCCTCAGCGATGCACTGTTCAAGAAGCCGCACTTCGGATTCGGTGGATGCTTTCTAGGGAGAAAATGTCAAGAGGACAATCCCAGAATGGGATTTTGCTATCTATAGAAGAGAAGATCTGGGCCTCGGGCGCTGAACAGTGGAGTCCTTGGTGCTCTCTGAGTTTGGGTGTTTTCTTAGATGTTTTATGACCCAAAATAGGTATCGTCAACAGTGATGATATTACCTACTTTGCTCATGAAAGGTCTGCAAGAAAACTGTCAAGTTCAGAGAACATCAAGGACCCTTCATGTCAACAATATATATATATATATATATATGTTCCAGCAAAACTCTGGAACGCCTCAAGCACTTTCAACCAAAATTGGTACACAGATGACTTATTCTCTGGAAACAAATACTGTGGGGGTAAGATACCCCTAACACCCCTTGGGGTGTGTGTTCTGTAGATACAGCCTGTTGTGCCTTCAAATGGCTCTATTGTACTGCCATAAAATGGCTTCTACTGTGCAGCGCAGTGGAATTGCCATGGTAATAGCTTCACAGTACCTCACCTCTAGTAAGGGGGAAAATCCAACAATAGAAATTACATTTGGTCCGGACATTTCCCCCTTATAAATAAATATCTGGGCAACACCAGGTTATCAACTAGCGTAACTACAAAAATAAAAAGTGGTGCTGAGGCTGGAATAAACAATGTAATAGCAGTTAGACATATATACTGCTTCATAGGGCTTTCAGCCCTCTCTAAGCGGTTTACAGAGTCAGCATATTGCCCCCAACAACAATCTGGGTCCTCATCTTCCACAGCTTGCAATAGGAGGCCAGTGTACA